TTGAGGGAGTTTCAACTACCTAAAAGACAATGTTTAAAACCACTGAACTTGGGAACCAGCAGTTAGCATAATGGCTATGTCACTGGACTCCCACGTAGTTGACCACGGTTCGTGTCCCGGACCCGGTGGCTTAAAACTCATGCAGGGCACGTGTGCGTGCGTGCCCAAGATCCTGAGAGGAGAATGGAGGAGAAAGGATTGCAGCATGATCATCCCCTCTGGGGGGTGATTTCTCACTTTCTGTCTCTATGTGTCTCTCTGTCTGTCTGGTGAGCGCACGCGCCCTATAGCGAAAAATCTCTCCAAAAAAACCCAAAAAAACCACTGAACTCAAATGATCTCTAAGGCCCCTTTGCTTCCAAGAGAGTCAGTGATTCCTCCTCCACAAAGAGAGAAAAGAGAAAGACAAATGAACAGAAGAAGCCCTGCCCTTTGCTTGGCCTTCCGGGGAGGGAAAGGCAGTCTGGTGTTCGTTCCACACTTGATGTGAAAAGTATTTCGTGGTCAAAATCTGTGAAGGGATAGCTTTTGCCTTTCAGGTTAATTAAAATGTTCTTGGCAGGGCCAGCAGAGGCATGGTTAAGGCTCTGGTCCCGGAACTACCTTTCTTTGGTGAGGTTCAAGACAAACCACTCTCATTCTAGGTAGGCTCATACCTACCATACGGGGCTCGCTGAGCAGAGAAAAGCAGTCACTGGAATATACGAGCCGGTTTTAGGGGATAAAGTGCTAGAGCACATTACCCTCAACCCACTCATTCCCAAGAATATTGCTCTTGGAAGATGATCTGCCGTAAAATAGTCTTCCATAAAATTAGACAATTCACATCTGCACGGGAAGGGTATATTTCTCCCATATTGATGTATTCTGTTGCTAGGAGATGGGTCTGGAACAGAATTCCTAAATTAAACTTTCCTGCAGACCCACTTTTATTGAACCCGACTCTTTAAGAGAACAAACATGCGTCAACTCTGAGTGTCGGTGTGCACAACCTGTCATTCTGAAGCCAGAAGACAATTAACCAGGTCCCTGAGTGTATTATTCCGGGCATCTTACCATCATCTTAAGAGCCTGTTTATGAGAGGCAGCTGTGCTAGGGTGGAAAAGCAGTAAATTAGGAGGAAAAAAAATGTGCGATTTGTCATTCCCCAGCCATGCGACCTCCAACGATTGCTTAACGTCTCTGAGCCTCTATTTCTTTTCTGTAAAAGGGATAATGTTTTTGTCATAAGCTGTCGTAAAGTACAATTACATACTGCAGGGAAAATAACTTTCAAAATATAAAACGTTGCTTGGAAACATCACATTGTACACCATAAATATATATATAAAAAAATAACTGGACCAGCAGGTGGCATGGAAGTTAAGGCAACTGGATCCCTCATCACCAACTGCACGGTTCAAGTCCTGGACCAGGCAGCTTACAAAACATGCCGGTGTGTATGTATGTTGCATGTGTGCCTCAAAGTCCCAAGACGAGAATAAAGGAGAAGAGATTGTGGTGTGGCCATCTGGCCTGGGGTGATTTCTCACTTTCTGTCTCTCTTTAGCGAGCTCACATGTCCTATAGCAAACTTAAAAACAAAACAAAAACTGAGATTACATAGAGAACTTCCGGAAAGATTAATAAAGAAGTATACTATTTGGATTTTGTACCATAACCATGGTTTACTATATAATTTTATAAATACTTAATCTGGAAATACCTTTCATTGCCTACTAAATCAATTTATAAACTAATTATAACCTTCTCTAAACTTTGATATCCATCCACAATAACCTATCTTTTACTTTGATTCTTTTTTTTGGGGGGGGAGGTGTCATAGAACACATGTGCTTGCCAGGAACACATGCTTGCTGGAGAAAGAGACAGAAAGTGAGATATCACCCCCCACAGGGCGATTGGCCACACCGCAATCCCTTTTCCTCCATTCTCCTCTTAGAATTTTGGGCACACGTGCACATGCACCCAGAAAGATTTTCAAGCACCAGGTCCGGGACTCAAACCGTGGTCGGCCACATGGGAGTCCAGCACATTAACCACTAGGCCATCTGCTGGCCCCCTTCGTTCTTCACTTACTCTACATTCTAGCTAAATACATTATCCATTACACATGCTCGTGTATATATATTCTGAATGACAGTTGAACCGGTAGGTAGGGAAATACGACCAACACAAAGATGCCTTCTAATTTAAAAAGTGCTATAGGGCTTCAGGAATCACAAAGGTTTATGGTGATTGTATTTTATTACAGAAAAGAAACACTGGTCCCATTTTAAAAAATTCTTGGCGGGGGGGACCAGCAGTTAGCGTAATGGCTATGTCACTGGACTCCCATGTAGTCGACCATGGTTCGTGTCCCGGACCCGGTGGCTTAAAACTCACGCCGGACGCCATGTGCGTGCATGCCCAAGATCCCAAGAGGAGAATGGAGAAGGGATTGCGGCGTGACCATCCCTCCTGGGGGGTGATTTCTCGGTTTCTGTCTCTGTCTCTCTCTGTCTGTCTGGCGAGAGCACACACCCTATAGCAAAAACCTCTCCCCCCCCAATAAATAAATAAATAAATAAAATTCTTGGGGAAAGTACTATTAAAATCTACCACATGAGCGTGTTAGAAAGCAGGAGCACCCCTTCCACACCTGCCTTTCCTGCTGGACTGTGGGGCTGTGAGGGCAGGGATCACTACCCACCGCACCTGGTAGGCATCAGACTGGCTCGTGGAGGGGACAAGGGGAGGGAACAGATCTTTTAAGTTGCAAATAAAACTGCTTTCAAAAGAATTCAATAGAATTCTCAAGTAGTTCAAAAGTTTTGGAAATTAATAATAATAGTCTCTGAAGGGGCCCCGTGGATATTTGATTTCTAAAGTGCTGGCCAACAAGGTTGCTCAGTACATGGAGGCCATGCAGGAGGCCCCAGTTTGCTTCCCGGTCCACCCTCGAAGGCCAGGCACAGTGGAGTGCACCCGTGCCCCAGCAGCTTGACCGGGATCATGGCAATTCTTTTTTAATGAGTAGGCAATTCTTTTATGATGATAAAAAAACTAATCGAGGACCAGCAGATGGCCTAATGGTTACGTCGCTGGACTCCCACATAGTCGACTATAGTTCGAGTCTTGGACCTGGCGACTTAAAGGGCATTGTGTGTGTGTACCCCAAATCCCGAGAGGAGGAGGGATTATGCTGTGGCCATCCTTCCTGGGGGGTGATTTCTCACTTTCTGTTTCCCTGTTTCTTTCTCTCTTTCTGGTGAATGTACAGACCCTATAGCAAAAATTTCTCTACCGAAAAAAAATAAAGCTAATCTGAAAATTCTCATCCTATTAGGTCATCTGGAATGCCATGAAGCAGTTTTACATTGAAAAAACCTAGGAAAATACATCATGACTTTACTGACGACCTAACACATGAAACTGTGTCAGCTGATGAGGAGGGACACGCAGACCGGCACCAGTTCTGGGGACTCAGGACCGGTCAGCACACCTGCCCTTCGCAACAGTGACCGCCACATATCCGAGAACGCTTCCTCCAGGTATCGGTTACCCACAGATCGGGGCTCCTGTCCTCGGGGTCTCCAGTACAGCGTGCTTATTCACTGACGCTGGGCCACCTGGGGGAAGGGGGTGCACCCTAAATCCCCAGCGTCCTGTAGCTCCTCCTGCTCACTCTGAGGCTCCTGGGGCAGGGATGCTAACGCGGCGGCTGGGCTCACCGTGACCCTTTGATGTGCTCGTGTATGAAGTCGGCGTGAAAACGCGGCACCAAGGGATCCTTCTCGCCGTGCAAGATCAAGGTGGGGCACTGGATCAGCGGCAGCAGGTGCCGGCAGATGTTACCTGAAAGACAATGCATGGGGCGTCTGCTGCAGTGCTGGCTCTGCGAGGGGGCACAAAGGGAACTCAGCGGGCACGCCCTTCTCTTCTCAGTTTCCCTGCTTGTGAAAACAGTGGTTCGGGGACTGTGCCTGGGGTCCCTGCCAGCCCTGATAGTCTGCTTCTTTGTCTGCTGCTTTGCTGTTATTTGTTTTTCAAGTTCTGTTAGTAAACAAGCCACTGTACTTGATTTAAATTCAGGAAAATCATACAAGCAACCCCCTGCCCCCAGCTCCTTCTATCACACAGAGCGGCCCCCGTGTGGAATAGCAGAGCCCCGGGCAGCTTTTTTTTTTTTTTTTTTTTGGGAGGATTTTATTTAAG